TGAGAAAAAGAGAGAGAAAGGGAAAGGAACGGGAAGGGAGAACAGGAAAGGAGAACAGGAAAGCTGGGAGGAAGCGGAAGGAGGGGGAAAAGGCACAGGGAGGCGGCCTAGGGCTCCAGGGACCACCTACTGGAAGGGGCTGGCGTTGCAGATGGTGACGGCGGGGAAGTCCATGGTCTTGAAGCCCACGGAGAGCGAGACGCTGACCTCCCAGCTCAGGTAGGTCCTGATGAAGACGCCCCACTGCCAGAAGACGATGGAGGCGAAGAGCAGCGTGAGCACGAACCACATGGCCTTCTTCTTGGGCCCCTCGCAGATGATGCGCTTGGGGCCGTGGGTGTTGGTGTTGTCGCAGTACCACACCAGCAGCTCCTTGTAGGTGTAGCCGGGGCCCTTCTGCAGCCGGTGCAGGCACTTGACCAGGTACTTCTTCACCTGCATCGTGGCACCTGCAGAGACGCGCATGCCGTGCAGCTAGGACACCCGCCTCGCGCCAAGGACGTCCCGGCTTGGCCACAGCACCCACGGGAGACGGGCAGCCCAGGTTGCATATGCCCTCCCTCCCTCACCCCCCTCATTTTTGCCATCTCTCATCATCCATCCACTCCTCCATCCAACCAAAAAGCATTTATTGAGTGCCTACTGTATGCCAGGCACTGGATTAGTCCCTCTGGACTCACTACTGCGCAAACGGACAGGTTTCTGCCCTCCGGGAGTTTCCAGCCTAGCAGCCAAGTCACTTAACCGCAGCCTCGGTTCACTGTCTGTAAAAGGGGGAAGGCGGAGCCTAGCTGAGAGGCCTGCCGAGAGGGTGATGTAGGGGATCCATGAAGAGTGCTCAGCTCAGGGCTGGCGCAGGCTAAGTGCTCCGTGTGGTTAGCTACCATCACGACAAGCTGTTAGCAAGTGGGGCAAACGTTGAGGAAACAGTCCATCAGAAATGCCTGGTTACAGGATGCGATCAGGATGGGGAGCCTGAGCTCTGAGCTCCCAGAGGCAGGAAGGGTGGTGGTTAAGAACCAGGACTCTGGCCCTGGCCCGTTTGGTTCAGTGGCTGGGGCCGACCAAAGGGTTGCAGGTTCAATTCCTTGGTTGCGGGTTTGATCCCTGTCCCCAGTCGGAGGCTTGTGTGGGAGGCAACGAATCTCTGTCTCTGTCTCTGTCTCTGTCTCTGTCTCTGTCTCTCTCTCTCTCTCTTCCTCTCCTCCCTCTTCCACTCTCTCCAAAAATCAATGGGGGTGGGGGGAGTCCTCAGGTGAGGATTACAAGAATGAAGACTCTAGAGCTGAAATGCCTGGCTTTGAATTTGGCTCTGCCACTTTCCAGCTGTGACTTTGAGTAAATCATTGCTCAGTGCCTCAGTTGTCTCATCTGTACAATGGGAACAATAATATCCTCTACCTCAGAGGCGTGTTGTGAAGACAATGAAATAGGGAATGTGGATCACTGTCTGGCTCCTGTCAGCTGCTGTTATTACAGCTGCTCACACACCCCAGGCTGAGGGGACCTGGAGGAGGTCACAGCAGGGTTCCCTGGGGAAAGCAGACTTGGGGGGAGGGGACAGCAGGAGCAAAGGAGCCTGGAAGGGGAGGAGGGCCCTGTGGCCCATCTAAAGATTTGGGTTTCAAGCCCAAGAGAGTTGAACCTTTGGAGGCATGATGCCCTCAAATCTGCCGTGTGAAAAGGTGCTGGGCTGCCTGCGGACCGGGGTGGAACGGGGCGGGGTCCGAGGGTGCAGGCATGGGTGGCTGCGGACTGCCTGACCTTTCTGATTGTTTCCCAGCTGCGTGGGGAGGCAGGCTTCTTAGGAAGATTAACCAAGACCTTCCTAAGGGGGCGGGGGGGGGGCTTGTGTCCTCCTCTTCCTCCTCCCCGATATCGGGGCACCTGCGGCAAGAGCACCCAGGCCCAGCGCCCAGTGCCCAGCTGGCTGCAGGCCGCCTCCTTCATGAAGCCGTCCACTCCCTGGCTGAAATGCCCCTCGCCCTCCTCCGAGAGCCTCTGAGGCCGGGGCATGGCGGTGGGCAGCCAGGTGCCTGCTCCAGCACCCTCTCCCCTTGCTCTGGCGTCTCCGCAGGTGAACTGCCCCTCCCCCAGCCAAAGCTGGGGGTGAGTGGCCAGATTGACGTCCACCCCAGCTTGGACCCCTGGGACTCGCTTCCGTGACTTTATGCTGGAAAAACTGCGGAAGGGACTCCCTTCCAGCTCAGATGACTACGTCGGTGGTACTTGGCACCGCCAGTGGGGAGACGACCCTAGAGTAAAGCGAACACACAGGAGCCACAGGGTGGAGAGGGATTCCTGACACCATTTAAACACCTGGATCCAGCCGTTCCATCAGATATGGGAACCAGTGCATTTTCTCTCTTGCTTTTGCTCATCCAAACTGGGTGTCTGTCATTTGCAACTATTAGAATCTTAAGGAAAAAGAAATTCCCCTTTCGCCCCTGTGACAGCTTCTGCCCCGAGGCTCCTCTGATGCCCACTCCTCCACGTTCACGAAGCCATGCTGTCAGGCCCTCCGCACCCCTAAGCCCTGCCGATGGCCCCGCTTAACCAGGAGCCTCAGGCTCACGGCTCATCAGGCGACGGCATCTGGTTAGAAGGAACAACATGCTGTTTTCCTTGGGTCTATTTTTAATGGGATCTTCTGTTTATGACAAGGTACACTTACGTAAAAAACAAGCACACTATTCAGCAACCAATAGCAGAGCAGACAGCAAAGACGGGACAATGACAGGCACACAGAAGCTGGTAGCGGCCGGGCTGGTCTCCTAACGGGTTGGGCCCCTGGGAGAGTAGCTAAGTAAGAATCAATAAACACTACAAGGCCAGCTTTCATCTCCAAGGTGATAGATGGTCTGTGTTTGGAGTGTCTACACAGCTTGTGCAGAGAGTTGTTTAAATCTGTTTACAGCTTAAACCGACCCAAAGTAGCTCAGTGGAGACGGAGTCCCGAACCTGAGGCAGGGAGAGCGGAGGCCGCGTGCCCATCCTGTCCCAGAGGGCTGCCTACACCCCGCCCGCGCGGCCAGCGTCTCTGGCTGCAAGTTCAGAAATGATGAATGGCGTGTACGCCCGTTTCCGTTTTGTTCTAAGAGAAAACGTCCACTCACTGTCAGAGACAAAGGTCCCTGAGATTGGACTCAGCCCCTGGCGGAAGGGAGCTGGGAAGCGGTGGGTGTCACCGCTATTCTGACCACACGCACCTGAGTGCTATTCATTAGGTCAGATCTGAGCCTCCGGATGACAGGCTGCATGTGGACGGCCAGGAGCTGCACTGGGTTTGCAAAAGCCCCGCGCCCCCCGCAC